GGCCTCCTGTTTAAAGCCACTTCTCACGCCTGTGGCGCACGCCTTTAATCCCAGCACTTGGCAGGTAGAGGCAGGTGGATCTCTGAGTTTGAAGCCATCCTGGTCTGCATAGCGAGTTCCAGGCCAGCTGGGGCTATAGGGAGACCCTGTCTCAAAAAGATGTTTTAAAAACACTTCTGGGGCTGGAGAGATGGCTCAGCGGTTAAGAGCAGTGGTTATTCTTGCAGAAGACTCGGGTTCGAATCCCAGCACCCACATGGCAGCTAACTGTCCGTAATTCCAATTCCAGGGGATCCGGGGGATCCCACAGCCTCTGACCTCGGTGGGCATTGCACAACACGGGTGCACTTACCTGCACGGAGGCAATACATACATACACATTTAAAAAAAAAAAAAAAGCCACTTCCCGACATTAGCCTGCAGGAAGGCCGAGGTCTCCCCTGTCTGGCACATCACAGTCAATGCATTGGGAAGGGTGAATGAAGTGGTCGGAGCGTCTGCAGAGGCAGAGAAACCTACTGTTGGGCTCATAGGAGAGGCTGGTGTCTGAATACCAACGTCCTGAAGGTGGTAGCCAGTCAGGGGTTTGAGTAGGGAAGCAAGGTGATCACATTGGCATGTTGTAAAGATCCCTGAACTAGAGGCCTAGGAATCAGGAGGGTAGTCGTCTCAAACAGGTGAGGGCTGATGCTGATGGTGGGCATGCTCAGAAGCCACCTGTGTGGGGTGGAGAGGAGACTTGACTAGATGTTGAGAAGTGATAGTATTTAGTGCTTGGGTGAGGAGGGGAGGGATCAGAAAGAGTAGGGTGTTTTTTGTTGTTTTTGTTTTGGTCTTGGTCTTTTTTTTTTTGGTCTTTTTGAGACAGGGTCTCCCTGTAACCCCAGCTGTCCTGGAACTCACTATGTAGACCACGCTGGCCTTGAACTCACAGAGATCCTCCTGCCTCTGCCTCCCGAGTGCTGAGATTAAAGGTGTGTGCCACCACATCCGGCTGTTTTGGTCTTTTTGAGGCAGGGTCTCCTTGTAGCCACAGCCAACCTGAACTCACCATGTTGACCAGGCTGGCCTTAAACACACAGAGATCTGCCTGTGTCTGCCTCTACCTCCCAAGAACTGGGATTAAAGTCATGGGCTACCATGTGCAGCACATCAGAAAGAGTAGGGAATGCCTACTTAAATTTTGGGTTGAGTGCTAGGTGAAGGGTGGTGATGTCATCTGTTGAAATTGAGGATTTTGGAAGAGAAGCAGATTTTTAAAAATACTTTGTTATTTTTATTTTATGGGTATGTATGTAAGTGTGGTGCAGTGCCTCTGGAGGTCAGAAGAGGGTGTTGGATCCCCTGGAACTGGAGTTGCAGACAGTTGTTAGCTGCCATGTGGGTGCTGGGAACCGAACCAGGAAAGGAATCCATCCAATTTTGAAAAAAGGAGGCTTGGGACTTTGGGGTTCCTGAAGAAAGTGGGGTTCAGGGCCCAGGTGGGGGAGGAACCTGGTGGGAATTGCAGAGGATGAGGTGCTGCTGTGTGTGGCCAGGGGATGCTCCTGGTGGTGGCTGGTTGAAGTGCTCCATCTGGTGCTGTGCTGTCCAAGGTGTTTATTGAAGTTGCTGTTGGGGGGCTGGGTGGAGGGGCCCAGTGCTCCTTTACCCATGCTGACCTCTGGTGTGGGACAGGCACCAGCAGATGCTCCTTGACTGCACAGAGGACACTGTCATGTTGCTGTGGATAGAAACAGCCAGAAACTGTGGAGTTCAAGGCAAGAGTATTAATTCTGATCAATAATCAAACAGGACATCATGAAGGAGGTGGTGCATGCTCTTTACATTTGAATAGGATTTAATGAGAGCGAGACCAGAAAGAACAGTGTGGATTGAAGACAGGATGTGCAGAAGTGGAGAGGGACAGTGAGGGATGCAGAAGCTTAGACTTCTAGGGTCAGAAAATGAAGATGTGTGGAAGACAAGGACCTGGGGAGAGGGAGCTGGGGCTCAGGGAAAAAGCCCTGCAGTTTCCTGGTGTCAGGCCCCAGGTGCTGGGGGGCCCTTGCCTCTGACCTTGCAGCCTGACCCAGCACTGTTGGCTTCTTGGTCCCATGTTCAGCACTGAAGCTCGGCTTTTCATTTCAGCCCCCAGCTCCAAAGCTAGCTCAGGAGATGCCTCATCACTTAGCATTGAGGAGACCAAGTAAGTACTGTCTTCCTCATGTGGCTCCTTTTTTCTTAGGTGGGTTGGACCTGGGGCAGTCACCTGGGAAGGCTTTCTCGCTCTCAGGCAAGGCAGTTAGAGTTGGAAGGGCCACATGAATCATGTTAGCCACCCATGGGAGTTACAGAGGAGGAAACTGTTTAGGGGCAGGCCAGACCGAGTGCCGTGGTCCCTGATCTGGAGGCCAGGGCCTTCTTCATGTGTTAGGCTGCTCAGGTCAGGGCCTGTGTTTAGGGTCCTTAGGACCATTTGTTCCCACTTTTGTTTTCACCTTTGTTTTCCTGCTTGTCCATAGATGCACCCAACACTCCATTTCTCCGGTAGCCCCTCATACTTGTATTCTTTGTTCTCAGTAAACTCCGGGCAAAGTTGGGGCTGAAACCCTTGGAGGTCAATGCTGTCAAGAAAGGTGAGTGTAAAGCTGAGGTTAGGGCTGAGCTGGGGGCATCTGAGTGGGGAGAGGTCATTTGGAAGAGTCTTTGGAGAAAGTGGGATTAGAGTGCAGAGGCGATACCATTTAGTGGCCTTACCTGTGTTTTGCCAGCGGTCTGAAGCCCCTCCTTGGTGTCAGCCATGGGGCTCTGATCTGACCACCTGCACCCTGACTGTAGAGAGGCTGAGGGATATGCACAGTTGCTGTAGGCTATCTGGATAGTGGTAGTTTGTTTTGTTTTTTTTTTTAAACAAAAGCATGATTTGAGGAGCTTTTGAAGACATAGAGGGGAGGGTCCTGTCATGCCATGTG